ACACATTGAGGTAAGGTATCTCAAGTGTAGCCCTTTCACACATTGAGGTAAGGTATCTCAAGTGTAGCCCTTTCACACATTGAGGTAAGGTATCTCTAGTGGAGCCCTTTCACACATTGAGGTAAGGTATCTCAAGTGTAGCCCTTTCACACATTGAGGTAAGGTATCTCAAGTGTAGCCCTTTCACACATTGAGGTAAGGTATCTCAAGTGTAGCCCTTTCACACATTGAGGTAAGGTATCTCAAGTGTAGCCCTTTCACACATTGAGGTAAGGTATCTCAAGTGTAGCCCTTTCACACATTGAGGTAAGGTATCTCAAGTGTAGCCCTTTCACACATTGAGGTAAGGTATCTCAAGTGTAGCCCTTTCACACATTGAGGTAAGGTATCTCAAGTGTAGCCCTTTCACACATTGAGGTAAGGTATCTCAAGTGTAGCCCTTTCACACATTGAGGTAAGGTATCTCTAGTGCAGCCCTTTCACACATTGAGGTAAGGTATCTCAAGTGTAGCCCTTTCACACATTGAGGTAAGGTATCTCTAGTGGAGCCCTTTCACACATTGAGGTAAGGTATCTCAAGTGTAGCCCTTTCACACATTGAGGTAAGGTATCTCTCCCTTTCAGTGTAGCCCTTTCACACATTGAGGTAAGGTATCTCAAGTGTAGCCCTTTCACACATTGAGGTAAGGTATCTCAAGTGTAGCCCTTTCACACATTGAGGTAAGGTATCTCTAGTGGAGCCCTTTCACACATTGAGGTAAGGTATCTCAAGTGTAGCCCTTTCACACATTGAGGTAAGGTATCTCAAGTGTAGCCCTTTCACACATTGAGGTAAGGTATCTCAAGTGTAGCCCTTTCACACATTGAGGTAAGGTATCTCAAGTGTAGCCCTTTCACACATTGAGGTAAGGTATCTCAAGTGTAGCCCTTTCACACATTGAGGTAAGGTATCTCAAGTGTAGCCCTTTCACACATCAAGAGGTAAGGTATCTCTCTAGTGTAGCCCTTTCACACATTGAGGTAAGGTATCTCAAGTGTAGCCCTTTCACACATTGAGGTAAGGTATCTCTAGTGTAGCCCTTTCACACATTGAGGTAAGGTATCTCAAGTGTAGCCCTTTTTCACACATTGAGGTAAGGTATCTCAAGTGTAGCCCTTTCACACATTGAGGTAAGGTATCTCAAGTGTAGCCCTTTCACACATTGAGGTAAGGTATCTCAAGTGTAGCCCTTTCACACATTGAGGTAAGGTATCTCAAGTGTAGCCCTTTCACACATTGAGGTAAGGTATATCTAGTGTAGCCCTTTCACACATTGAGGTAAGGTATCTCAAGTGTAGCCCTTTCACACATTGAGGTAAGGTATCTCTCAAGTGTAGCCCTTTCACACATTGAGGTAAGGTATCTCAAGTGTAGCCCTTTCTTTCACATTGAGGTAAGGTATCTCAAGTGTAGCCCTTTCACACATTGAGGTAAGGTATCTCAAGTGTAGCCCTTTCACACATTGAGGTAAGGTATCTCAAGTGTAGCCCTTTCACACATTGAGGTAAGGTATCTCAAGTGTAGCCCTTTCACACATTGAGGGGTAAGGTATCTCAAGTGTAGCCCTTTCACACATTGAGGTGTAGGTATCTCAAGTGTAGCCCTTTCACACATTGAGGGTAAGGTATCTCAAGTGTAGCCCTTTCACACATTGAGGTAAGGTATCTCAAGTGTAGCCCTTTCACACATTGAGGGTAAGGTATCTCAAGTGTAGCCCTTTCACACATTGAGGTAAGGTATCTCAAGTGTAGCCCTTTCACATTGAGGTAAGGTATCTCTCAAGTGTAGCCCTTCACACATTGAGGGGTAAGGTATCTCTAGTGTAGCCCTTTCACACATTGAGGTAAGAGGTATCTCTCAGTGTAGCCCTTTCACACATTGAGGGTAGGTATCTCTAGTGCAGCCCTTTCACACATTGAGGTAAGGTATCTCAAGTGTAGCCCTTTCACACATTGAGGTAAGGTATCTCAAGTGTAGCCCTTTCACACATTGAGGTAAGGTATCTCTAGTGTTCAGCCTCTAGTGTAGCCCTTTCACACATTGAGGTAAGGTATCTCAAGTGTAGCCCTTTCACACATTGAGGTAAGGTATCTCAAGTGTAGCCCTTTCACACATTGAGGTAAGGTATCTCAAGTGTAGCCCTTTCACACATTGAGGTAAGGTATCTCAAGTGTAGCCCTTTCACACATTGAGGTAAGGTATCTCTAGTGGCGCCCTTTCACACATTGAGGCAAGGTATCTCTAGTGTAGCCCTTTCTCACATCGAGGTAAGGTATCATTGGGGAAAGAGTGCCTGGTTGATAGTGTCGCTTGCCCTCTGCTAAGTTGTCTAAGGCGCCAGGTGAGTAATCCAGCGAGCTTGAGGTGCCGTGATCGAGCCCACCTGTGACCGAGTGTAAAAACCTTGGAGTCAACTTTGTGTGCAGACTCTTTAAGTGTTGTCACAACCCCTAGTGTACAGTACACAAACAAGTGCACATAAAAAGAACCCAAGAATCTGTTGGTATATGACCAGATGGTTGCCACAAGAATACGTGCAAACACCTAGTTGCGGGTACAGCAACGTGCAGTAAACTTTTACAAAGTACTGTAACTATGTGTCCCAGCCCATCCGACTGTGAATGGGTACTTCGTAAGGATGGGAAAGCCACATTAACTTGGTTACTGTTTCAGCCATCTTTCTGTTGTGTTTTTTTAAACTAGACACTAAGCAAGATTAGAAACTTGCTTGTGTCGCCGGTTCAGAACTTTGGACTGGGATCGTCACCTAGTTAGATAATGGCATTGGTATCGTCACCTGGCCAGATCATGTTCTAGCCAATATTTGACTGCAAATATGTTCTAGCGAATATCTGATTACAAATAGTATAGATGTGTGTTCCATCCATTTCATCGCTGCAGTTCGAGATGGACGGGGACCACAGCTGGGAAGATCTTCAAGGCAGCGGGTATCACTGTTGTGATCGGTTACATCATCTGCAGCGTCGCCACCACCGCCTCACTCATACACAAGTACAACGCTGACCTTTTCACGTAAGGAAAAACAAGTTTGTGTATTTTCAAATGTTCATTTGCTTACAGTTACTTCACATTGTTAAGGACGGTGTTTAAATCTTGCTGGGATCGCATGAGCACCAATAACCAAGACAAATAGGGGTGACGGGTGGAGTTTTAACAACGACACAACCCCGACAACCCTGTTGACTTTCAGTGATAATGACAATCATAGAGAAACACTAGCAAGGGTACATGAGCTAAAGATGAGCCTTACCAGCCTAACTGTGCTAGGACTACCCGGCCTCTCTCGCTGCTGCATTTTATAAATCTGTTAAGCATAAATATTTATAAGGGCCTAATTACGTACGCCATCCGTGGTGGGCCTGGTTAGGGGGGATTCATTCCACTGAACCAAACGTACATCATGCCGTTCGGGTAGTCATTGATTCCCCATTGGTCATCCGAACCCTCTTTACTGCATCTATTTATCTATCTATCTGTCTTCATCTGAATTTCGGATTCGAACCAATAACCAGCGGATCCTGCATCCCTGCACGGATCATTCTCCTAAGAGCAAATGGAGCACAATACCCCGGGGTGCCTTTGAGTAATTAATGCAAAGAATACACAATGTCTATTAAGATGATATTATAACTGATATTTTGCAGGAACGCTTCAGTGTACTTTGAAATGGTGTACGAGAAACCTTGGTGTCGGATCGGAACATTCGCCATAGGGATGATGCTAGGCTACATCCTTCACACCTTCAAGTCCCGCGATGCCAAGATGTCTCCAGTGAGTAGTAGACATCGTTATGCTTAAAGAAAAGGTAGATTTCAGAAACACGTGTATGTCGTGCGTAATTTCGAACTGTCCAATCCTTATATTACCAATGGGAATGCCATGTCCTGTGAACTTCTCGTGAATACAGAGAATATGTTGTTGTTGATTAGAATTATGAATCTAAATTGTCCTCGATCAAGACCAGATTTCAGACGCATATTGCCAAGCATATAAAAATCCATCCCCTATTTAAACACACAAACTCAAACGCGGATTTGGGAATGGCCCAAGTGAAGAGTTTAGGCACCATCACCAATTCTCGGCTATATAATAGGTTTGATGTGTCGGCTTGTTTTGAACTCACGGGGCCAGATGCAAGTGAACAGCTATTCAGCTGTTTTATGAAATAGGGGTTTTAATTAATCCTTCCTCAGCTGTGTTGCTAACATAGCCAGGACTGAGCTTAACAATGTCACTACCAAAATCTGTTTCAAAGTCCGCAGATCACGGTTAGTTTGTTTGTTGTTTAACGCCGAAACAAATCAATGACAGCTATATGGCAGCAGTCTGTACATAATCGAATCTGGACCAGACAATACAGTGATTTACGGCATGAGCATCGATCTACACAAATGGAAAACGATGACATGTGTCAACAAAGTCAGCGAGTCTGACCACCTTAGTCGTCTCTTTCCGCAAACATGGGTTGCTGAAGATCAATTCTAAAACGGGTCTTTGCGGGTTTTATGGTTAACGACGTTTCGGTGTAGATTGTTGCACCGTTGTCAAGCTTATAGGCCTTATGACCCGTGGTATTTGTTGTTCTTACTCCCCGCCTGGCCTCATCCAATCATGTGCCAGTGTTATTCAATAGATGCTGTTGTTAATGGTAATCAGATGTTTGTCACTACATAGACTTCTCATCACATAAAAGTCGTGCGCTTCATTATTGACTCACCAACTTGTAGAAAGCCAGCCAAACAAAATCTAGAATAAGACCTACCAACGTACAAAAGGGAATTCAATACTCCATTAACAAGGTTTCAGTTCCCCAAACGTTTTATCCCTGGAAGGAGCTTTTATTTATTCTAACGGCCGATCATAACAATGACACTTCATGATCCAATTCAGGAGAGTATAGTAGGGATACGGCATATTGAATTAATGTTCCTAAGTTAAACAGGGAGTTTCAGAGATTCCACCAGACGGTACCAGACAACTGTGGTACATTATTTGTTCCAGTTCCTGCAGGGAGTGGGCTGGCTCCTGGCGTTGGTGGCAGCCGGGGCCTGTACACTGGCGACCTATGACGCCAATGCTGAGGGGAGACCTGGCTGGGGTGTGGAAGCAAGGACGGCTCATGAGACGCTCTATAGACCCGTGTGGGGGCTGGTGTTGGCCTGGGTCATCTTCATGTGCTTCAAGGGGAAAGCAGGTGCGTGCAATCAGGAGTGTAGAGAAGATGTCACGATTATGTCATGTCATGATTTTCTTGTTGGCCATTATTCCATTAAGGTAGCAAAAGTACTGTAAGTCCCCATGGTCCCTTGTGTGTTGATCTTACTTCAGTTGCTGGCGATCTGTAGTCCATTTTTTGGGTGTATTTTATTGTCCCGTTTAATTATACTTTTTATAATAACATGCTAGTTTTACCTTACTATCTGTTAAACTCTAGCAGTGTTTCCATCGATGACAGGTTTCAATTTAAAAAAGAAAATCATTTTTAAAACCATTTTTTAAATTTTTCTCGTCAAGATATGTCTGAAATATTGCAGATGTAACGGTAAATATTAACTCACTCACTCGTTGGCCATTGATAATGTTGTTTAACTATGCGCTTTAAATCATTTTCTCCATATCAGTCTCACCAACTGCTTTAGAAAAGCATATCATTATTGAGGACGAGATACGTGAATAAGATGAAATGTGTTTTGATTGATAACAGAGACTGCAGCTGGTTATTCTCAATTGACTGCAAGGAGCGGTTGGGTAGCCTAATGGTTAAAGCGTCCTCTCGTCACGCTGAGGGCCCGGGTTCGATTCTCCACATAGATACAATGTGTGAAGCCCATTTCTGGTGTCCCTCGCCGTGGTATTGCTGGAATATTGCTGAAAGCAATGTCACTCACTCAATTAACTGCAGAATTAATTCTCTATTGGAGATTGAACACAAGTATACATACAATGCCCCTCACACAGGTTTCGTGGACTGGATGTTGTCCTGGGACTGGTGGCAGCCTCTTTCTCGACTCACATACGGGGCCTACCTTGTACACCTCATGTTTATACAGACTGAAGCAGCCACTGCGAGATCCCTATTCAACTTTACATCCGGGTACATTGTAAGTATATATCTGTGAAGAGTGGGTTCTGTAGAGGTTGTGCATTTAATACGCTTTATAGCCTCACGCTAAACATGTAGGGTTCCAATTAATAAAGAAACTGTATTAAAAAGGAATCGTCGCCTTAGGTAGAAACCAGCTCGCCAGCAACGATGACCGCAAAAATATTTCATGAAATTATATACTAGTACAAATATTGTTCGTCCTGAAAACATACCAAGAAACACAATTCATTGGGTTGACGATTGGATATTTGAACAAAATGCGTAGTAGTAAACTCAATTATAGTAGACCTAACACGTTATAGAAGTATATACACCCCGTCTTCTCAAATCGTTGAATATCTGATAGCTGTTACCTTTGAAACATGGAGGAGCGAAGACATTTTACAGAATCATTGTCAAAAGTCATTAATAAAAAGGACACAAGGGAAGGATACCCTTCCTATGCCAGAGGTGGGCTGCAGACTTTACACATCAGGGAGAGCCTTGAACACAACTCCTGTTCCGGAAGGCCTGAGAACACAAGAAGAAATGAATCCACGATATAGTGATGATAGACTGGCAAACATCTGAACGTTACATTGACAGTTCAGTATGCATTGTTTATTTCAGAAGCTTTGGCAATGACGAAAGTATTACCATATTGGATGCCAAAGCGTCTAGTATCTGATCAATAACTCATCATACGCATTTCCTTGTGACAATCTATGTTTGGAACTGATCCAGAAGGCTCTTGCAAAAGTTTGTCGCTCTTGATGAAACAAGAGTTCCCAACGTTCAAACAACAATATGCGTTCTTCCGTCAAGACGCTGCTTGAACGCAATCAACATTCATCTTATTCTCCTGATCTAGCTCCGCGTGACCATGAGATCACCAACATGAAGAAGGTTTTCACGGAATCTATTTCGACGATTATTTTGACAGCCAAGAGGGACTGAAATATCTGAAATGTTAAGAAATAGTTTTATATTCTGATGTTTTTAGGCTAAATCTTTCTATGTGAGACTTAACCCTCCTTCGTGAAGGACGCTGGGAATTTCTATTGAAAAACATTTCCCGAAAATGCTAAAAAATAATACGTTGTCCAAGGAATCGTTGATATATCATACCGGAAGTTCGGATATCAATGCATAGGTAAATCCGTACTATATCTGTATATTTTGTAACGCTTGCTGAAATCACGTTCTGTCATATAAAAAATGTCAGACCAACATTGTTGTGTATTCCAGGTTTACCGCTTCTTCGGCTACACGTGCATGTCGTTCATCTTCTCCTTCCTGGTGGCCATCCTGGTGGAGGCGCCCATGCTGCAGCTGGAGAAGCTGGTCCTGTCCTGAGTCATAACAGCTTCCGCCATGATAGCGAGTCTTACAGCTTCAAAAGATTCATTAAAGCAAGCAGACAACGGCCATTTGTAAGAGAAGCGTAATGTCATTCATGAATAGTGAATACTTGCTCATGTTTAGTCATAACCTTAAGTGATACTCACGCTCACCATGAGTTCGAGGTTGTAGTCATTGTCAAGGAACTAGTCTTTATATCACGAAGCCATCCATAGTTTTAACTGTTTCTTATCCACATCACGAGGTAAAGTCTTTAATTAGTTCCTTCGGAAACAATTTAAAATAGAAATAGATGAAGAGAGATTGAGCTGACCTGACATTTTTATGAATGTGTAAGGGTAAGAGTATTTTAAATGGGTGAATATTCTTGACTGGCAAGAGATAGGAAGAGTACATTTCATTATCTCAGAAACTTTAGCAATGAAGAAAGTATTACCATGTTGGATGCCAACTCACAGAACACAATGCGGGCAGCCTAATGTCCGTTTCGAATTATAAATGTTTCTTTACACCGCCCAAAAATTGACTGTACGGAAGCAGTACTGGATTGAAAACCCTCATATTTACATTAAAAAATGAGCTTGCTAGTTTGTTATACACAGGTAAAACTTCAGCAGATCTATAGAATACGTTTCACATATTTTGGAATGATTTGATAGATTAAACAGTGTATATGCACGTGGTATTTTTGTAAAACAGCAGTTTGCTTTTCAGTTTGCAGGGGAACCATTTTACTAAGATACAATGTATTACCCCGCGGTGACCGTTTTATAATATACAACGTAACAGTTAGTGACATGATATAATTTGACACGGCACGACATGACATGATAGAATGAATTTTAATCAGAGCATCCTGCCTTATAGCTGTTGACCATTCTTCCTTTTTGTCTGCCAATATTCAAAACACGTTTTCCATAACTGACGTTATATTAGATCTGCATTGAAGTCTGTCAGTCGCATTTCTTTCTGTATATTGTGTGCATTTACCTGTGTGCTGGGCATAATCATTTTGACGAAACGTTTATGATCTGTTAATAGTTCAATTGCGTTGAGTAAACGATACTATATTGTTGAGATTTGTTATTAATTTTCGTTTACAAGCATGCATTGTATAATATAGCTACAAACTCTTGGAGATGTAACTATTGTGTAATCGCCGTTCAAGTTATAGTCTGTTTTGCAGTGAAAACGTTTGTTAAGAAAAAAGTAAATCAAATATAGTGAAATTAAGATCTTAAATTCACTTTGTTTGATTTACTTTTTTGTTTAAAGTGAAATTCATCGGTACGTTTTCACTGCAAACAGACTATAGTTTTCAACATAACCCATATTATCTGTACTGTTATGGTGCGTCATTATTGCATCTTGATTTAGGCATATGTTATATATATACTCCTCACAAAAAGTTAAGCAACAAGTAGTTTCAGTGTAATATCTTTATCAATCTCGATAGCGATTTTTGCCGGCATGTTACTGGAAGGTAAATATTCGAAGAATACATAACCTTAAGGGAATGTCAGATTGATTTATCTGATAACATTGACAACAAACCTACCTGCATTGACAACAAACCTACCTGCAATCATTCCTCTGGCACAACAAGCGGGTCCTAACTTTATTTGTTTTGATGATAATACCCGTCCATGGATGATAATGCCCGAGAAAGAGGTGTTAACGATGTTGTTTAGATCAACAACATCACGCATATGGACTGGCCTGCAAGGTCCCTTGATCTGAATCCCATTGAGCATGCTTGGGACATTATTGGAAGTCGTGTTTACGGTCTCCATGTTCACCCCCCGACTCTGGATGACCTAAAGCAGGCGTTACAGAGAGAATGGTAGAACATTCCACAACAGCAACTTTAAAGGCTCATTTGGTCAAAGCAAATACGTGAAGAAGCTTGCATTTGTGCTCATGGTGGTCATACGCGTTACTGAACACTGCTTCACTGACCAAAACTGACTTGAACCTTAATGTTAACATTTTGCTCCATCAATGCAGCACATTTTGCACGACTGTTTCACGGTTTTGATGATTTGTAAGTCTATTATTGCTCAATACCATTTCATTTCATTTAGTTAATCGTGTGTACATATGTTTCACCTTTCCATTGCATCATTCCATGATTTGCCATTTCAATACATGAAAATGTAATGAGACTACATTTGTGTTGCTCAACTTTTTGTGAAGAGTATATTTTCTCAGTAAAGTACAGATTCTTGTACTTTTGTTGTGTTGGCAGTAAATGGCAGTATTCATTCATTTGGGCACAATACCAAATGGATGGGGGTTTATGGCGTGTCATTATGGCATCTTGATTTGAGCACAGTACAACATGGGTGTGTGATGTGACATGTCACTGTGATGTCATGTGGTAGGCACAATCATACTGGGGGTTTAAGACGTGTCATTTTAGTGTCTTGAAGGGGGCACAATACCACATGCAGGGGGTATAAGACATGTGATCACAGTGCCCTAAAGGGTGCACAATACCACACTCTGAGGGTTTAAGACGTGTCATTTTAGTGTCTTGAAGGGGGGCACAATACCACATACAGGGGGTCTAAGACATGTGATCACAGTGCCCCTAAAGGGGCACAATACCACACACTGAGGGTTTAAGACGTCATGTCATTTTAGTGTCTTGAAGGGGGCACAATACCACAATACACAGGGGGTCTAAGACATGTGATCACAGTGCCCTAAAGGGGCACAATACCACATACTGGGGGTTTAAGACGTGTCATTTTAGTGTCTTGAAGGGGCACAATACCACATACTAAGACATGTGATCACAGTGCCCTGAAGGGGCACAATACCACATACCACATACTGGGGGTTTAAGACGTGTCATTTTAGTGTCTTGAAGGGGGCACAATACCACATACAGGGGTCACTAAGACATGTGATCACTTTGCCCCTGAAGGGGCACAATACCACATACTGGGGGTTTAAGACGTGTCATTTCAGTGTCTTGAAGGGGGGCACAATACCACATACAGGGGGTCTAAGACATGTGATCACAGTGCCCTGAAGGGGGCACAATACCACATACTGGGGGTTTAAGACGTGTCATTTTAGTGTCTTGAAGGGGGGCACAATACCACATACAGGGGGTCTAAGACATGTGATCACAGTGCCCTGAAGGGGACACAATACCACATACTGGGGTTTTAAGACGTGTCATTTTAGTGTCTTGAAGGGGGCACACATACACATACAGGGGGTCTAAGACATGTGATCACAGTGCCCTAAAGGGGGCACAATACCACATACTGGGGGTTTAAGACGTGTCATTTTAGTGTCTTGAAGGGGGGCACAATACCACATACAGGGGGTCTAAGACATGTGATCACAGTGCCCTAAAGGGGGCACAATACCACATACTGGGGGTTTAAGACGTGTCATTTTAGTGTCTTGAAGGGGGGCACAATACCACATACAGGGGGTCTAAGACATGTGATCACAGTGCCCCTGAAGGGGCACAATACCACATACTGGGGGTTTAAGACGTGTCATTTTAGTGTCTTGAAGGGGGGCACAATACCACATACAGGGGGTCTAAGACATGTGATCACAGTGCCCTGAAGGGGGCACAATACCACATACTGGGGGTTTAAGACGTGTCATTTTAGTGTCTTGAAGGGAGGCACAATACCACATACAGGGGGTCTAAGACATGTGATCACAGTGCCCTGAAGGGGGCACAGTACCACATACTGGGGGTTTAAGACGTGTCATTTTAGTGTCTTGAAGGGGGGCACAATACCACATACAGGGGGTCTAAGACATGTGATCACAGTGCCCTAAAGGGGGCACAATACCACATACTGGGGGTTTAAGACATGTCATTTTAGTGTCTTGAAGGGGGGCACAATACCACATACAGGGGGTCTAAGACATGTGATCACAGTGCCCTAAAGGGGGCACAATACCACATACTGGGGGTTTAAGAGGTGTCATTTTAGTGTCTTGAAGGGGGGCACAATACCACATACAGGGGTCTAAGACATGTGATCACAGTGCCCTAAAGGGGGCACAATACCACATACTGGGGGTTTAAGAGGTGTCATTTTAGTGTCTTGAAGGGGGGCACAATACCACATACAGGGGGTCTAAGACATGTGATCACAGTGCCCTAAAGGGGGCACAATACCACACACTGAGGGTTTAAGACGTGTCATTTTAGTGTCTTGAAGGGGGGCACAATACCACATACAGGGGGTCTAAGACATGTGATCACAGTGCCCTAAAGGGGGCACAATACCACATACTGGGGGTTTAAGACGTGTCATTTTAGTGTCTTGAAAGGGGCACAATACCACATACTAAGACATGTGATCACAGTGCCCTAAAGGGGGCACAATACCACATACTGGGGGTTTAAGAGGTGTCACTTTAGTGTCTTGAAGGGGGCACAATACCACATACTAAGACATGTGATCACAGTGCCCTGAGGGGGGCACAATACCACATACTGGGGGTTTAAGACGTGTCATTTTAGTGTCTTGAAGGGGGGCACAATACCACATACTGGGGGTCTAAGACATGTGATCACAGTGCCCTAAAGGGGGCACAGTACCACATACTGGGGGTTTAAGACATGCGATCACAGTGCCCTGAAGGGGGCACAGTACCACATACAGGGGGTCTAAGACATGTGATCACAGTGCCCTGAAGGGGGCACAATACCACATACTGGGGGTTTAAGAGGTGTCACTTTAGTGTCTTGAAGGAGGCACAATACCACATACTAAGACATGTGATCACAGTGCCCTGAAGGGGGCACAATACCACTTACTAGGGGTTTAAGAGGTGTCGTTTTAGTGTCTTGAAGTGGGCACAATACCACATACTGGGGGTCTAAGACATGTGATCACAGTGCCCTGAAGGGGGCACAGTACCACATACAGGGGGTTTAAGACATGTGATCACAGTGCCCTGAAGGGGGCACAGTACCACATACAGGGGGTCTAAGACATGTGATCACAGTGCCCTGAAGGGGGCACAATACCACATACTGGGGGTTTAAGAGGTGTCACTTTAGTGTCTTGAAGGAGGCACAATACCACATACTAAGACATGTGATCACAGTGCCCTGAAGGGGGCACAATACCACTTACTGGGGGTTTAAGAGGTGTCGTTTTAGTGTCTTGAAGTGGGCACAATATCACATACTGGAGGTTTAAGACGTGTCATTTTGGTGCCTTGAAGGGTGCACCGTCGCTCTTCTAAAGGACATATCATACAACATGCATACTTATGTCATTAGGAAGGGAAATATAACCCAACATAGAGACTGGTAGGCTGGTGTCAATGTAAAGCCTTGGCCGTCAATATGTATCATTCACAAAACCCTGATGGTATGTGTCATTTTCTTTATTCAACACATAAAAATTCAAGTTCTATGTAAACAGAGATATAAGTATAAATGGAGTATTAATATATATCATGGATGAAACAATAAATGAATTAAAAACATAACATAAGAATTTACTATTGCATAATCCCCTCATCAAGCACCAGTATACACAAGGCTGTATAACATCCTGGTCAGTTTCATCTCGCAGGAACTTATGATTTAATAAGAATGTAAGACATTGCAAATCCATGGTGAGTTGGATACATATAAATCTGCATCTTCACACTGGTATGATGGAGTGAGTGAGTTTAGTTTTACGCTACACTCAGCAACATTCCAGCTATATGGCGGCAGTCTGTAAATAATCGAATCTGGACCAGACAATCCAGTGATCAACAACATGAGCATCGATCTGCACAATTGGTAACCGATGACATGTGTCAACCAAGTCAGCGAGCCTGACCACCCGATCCCGTTAT